TAAAATCATGGAACAGTGACAGTGAGTTCCCTTTCATAAGCCAGTCACAATAAAAGAATCCTTTCCTAAGTACTAAAATTACTTCAATCCACTCCTCAAATCTGTTAATTATATCACTAAAAAATTTATATTGAGCAGGTCCTTTCGTAAAAGAAAATCATTATAGTAATTAATTTTATTTAAAGAACAGGGTTTTTCATATACGGGTAGATATGGTTGCTTTTTAAGCACTTTTTTTCTGACTAATAAGGATTAAACAAAAGCTTTTCTTAAGGCCTCCACTTTTCACAGTGCTTGACAGGGGCATAACTCTGTACAAAGGTAACTCAGATTTATGGTTCCTGTGCCGATCATCTCAATTAATCACAGAGAACAAGTGTGTGAAGTTTCAACCTTATCCCTTTAACAGTTTTTGAGATATTTTTGAGATACTTTGTACCAACTTGCGTGCAAAAACTTAATTGAAATGTTATGCCAATGCCTGTATGAAAACAATAGCTGATGATCTTAGATCAATTCAAGAGGGAAAGCTATCAAGCTAGCAAGTACTTTGACACTTCTTTGCTGGTACTTTCTTTTTTGCCAAAAGGAGAATAACAACTATCTTCATTAAATTGATTAACTATAAAACCATGACCTCGGAATACTCATCAACACCATGTCATATTTTTCAAATTTACCTTTTAGGTGAAGGGACGCCAGATGGTCGCGGGAGTCCTGCACTACCTGGCCTGGGTATAGAACGTCTAGGGGTTGGTAATCCACTGTTTCTCTGTGGGGATCCTCCTCGTATATTCCTCTGGGGAGTTTTTAAACCACTCACACTTGGAGATGATGGTCGTCCCATTGAATTTTGTATCCTACTAAAATACAGTGAGAAATGAATAAAAGTAAAGAATGCATTGTCAAAGCTATGCAAAATTTTTTAAAGAAATTTTTCAAAATAAACATAATTACATGTATATGGATTCTTACATAATTTATATACCAAGTCCTAAGATTTACTAAAAACATAAATACAGAACTTCTAACAATTTCAGTGACATTATACCCATCCGAGCATATACAGTGAATGAACAGGTAAAAAACAAAATAAGTTTACATTTTGCGTACCTAATTACTAAAAAGAATGCTCATAAAAGTATGTAGACATAACAATCTAGGGTAAGATTTAAATCTTACCCTAGATTGTTATGTCTACATACTTTTTCATTTACCTAATGACTGAAAAAATCTGGCTAAATATGGCATAAGCTAATGTAAAACAGTTATTCTTCATGAAATTACAGTTAAATTACCTGGTATATCTTGGAGGCTCAGCATTATTTATAGCTTGTTCTTCCGTCTGTGTTTGGTAATCAGCTAAACTTGAATCACTATTATAATGTTGACCTCTGGGTATTAAACGGGACATATTAGGCATACTGCCACGTAAACTTGACACACCTGAAATAAATTATACTACATTTCAATTATCTGCATTATTCAGTAATGGCACATTTTTATGTAATCTGATTTTCTTAAGGTTCTCTCTGTAAGAAGTTTTTGTGGAAGTCGACTTTTAATTAGTGTAGCATTATAGAACAATCAATTTTTTTATAACAAATTGATATACTGGCAAAATTTACCAAACCAATGTTCCATCATATTAATAAAACTTTACCTGACAAATGTTCCCTATACTGGTAAAACTTTATCCTAAGCAATGTTTTCACATTCTAATATTTTTAATATCATTTTGATATTGCAATTAACTGCACATTTCCTTTCTTTATTTCAATTATATACATGTATGTAGTGATAATGACTGATAATTTGTCTTAAGTGATTTATAATTGATGAACAATATGCCTTTGTGCCACATAAAAAGAAATTTAGTTTGACAAGTCCTGAAACTTTGACAGAATTCCATATATAGTATTTTTCCAAAAGGGGAATGAAAAACTTGATGTAAAATAAATTTAAGGGGAAAATGCATGATTTTACAGAATTTTAAGGGGGAATCTGAATTAATCACTCATATTATAAAAGGAAAAGAAGATCTTCAATTTTTGAACTCCTGACATTAATTTTTGTCTTATATGTTTATACAAAATTAAACATCAAGGGACCAAGTAATGAAAGCAAATTTCATGCAAAATTATATAAGTTTTAAAAGAACTTAAAAAACTTTAAGGGTTAAAACTTACCTATAGGTGAAACTTACCGGAGTTTTGTACATGTAGATGTTGGTTACTACCATAGGGACTGTCTGGGGGACTGCTGTGGTCAGACTCTACTGAATTCTGACTATTTCTTCTGTATGATCCCTCTGTAAAATATAAAGCAGTGTGTCCTTTAAATTTGCTTAAAGCTTTGTGATACAAAAGCAAACAACTGTTTATGAAGCCTTAAAGAGAGTAATGATTTTGTATCATAATACAGAATGATTCTGTATCATATAGCTAACTATTTGTTTAAATTTAATACCAACATGGTCACATGGTAACTTTTGAGCACTTTACTGGTGGATGAATATCCCAACTGTCTCTTCCATGCATTATTTTATTGGCCAACTCTTTCTTCACAACGTAACAGTTTCATCCTTTATCTTCCACTTTCATGCAATTACTATATTTTCTGTTCTTTCATTTAGAAAATGGGATTATTAACATTTCAAATCTTTTATAGTAATGTATTTTAATTTTATGCCTGTCACAGTTTAGAATAGTTCAATATTTAGGGGAGAAGATGGCTGAATAGCTCAGTTGGTAGAGCTGCGGAATGGTATTCAGAGGGACCCCGACAGGGTTTCGAGTCCTGATCAGGCTGCACATTTTCTCACCTTGTGACATGCCTTTTTCATAACCATTTGCACTATTTCATTCGACTTTATTTAGCTCAAATTTCAAATTTACCTTTACTATTTCAATGGATTATATTGATAAAACAACACATGCTATTTATTCAATGAATAATCATGACAGATACTTAGGTAAAAAAAATTGTACCAATCTTTGCATTCCTTTTGCATCTATATAAATTAAGCAAGCAATTATCAAAGGCAATATATAATAAACATTTTCTATCTACTCTAGATAAAAGATGAATAATAATAATATAAATGCCAAAAATTAAAAAAAACTTTAATGTTTGAAACAGACACATAAACTCTTAACAAATATATCATTAAATACTTCTTTTTTAACAGCACATCAATCCATTCTCAGACTTACTTAACAGATATATAAATGAAAATAGATAAATAAGCCTCTTTTATACTTAAATATTGACACAAAGCATAATATTTGGTTGATTGTACATTAGTTTATGGCATGTCTAACTAATATTTTGTCTAACTATTCGTGCATACATATAGCAATTCATGGGACTTTAAATACTACATTTGTAAATACCTAAAATGGACTTGCCCATCTCTAAGTTAAGGCAAAACATCATTTTAAAGAAAATTAAAAATATGTACTGACATAAAAAATTAATTGATTTAATCAAGTATGTTTATTTTGCATTTTGCAATAGAAACAAAAATAAATTTCACCTTATAATGCTTCTGGTTCTAACTTTTTTATTTGTGTATGAACTTATATTACTGTTAACATTATTTCCTGTTTATAGCTGTAATGTTGTTTATGCCAATAAATTGTTGTTGTTGTGGCTGACTTATCAGCTGACAGTGCCAGGATGTGTCAGCTGAACTTGTCTACACTGGTTGCACAGGTAGATTCAATTGCTGCCTAATGTGACTATAAAACACATCTGTGTTAAAAAAAATTTTCATTCATTCACAAAATTTAACCAGAGTGATATAATTTTGCTAACAATAGAGGAAAATGTAACCGTAATGAGAAAATCAATTCATTTTTTTTCAAGTATTTAAAACATATTGTTAGTTACTCAAGATATTGTTTCTAAGTGCAATATTTTACATCAGCAACACATCTGATTGGGTTTCAAACATTTCCAAGTTTTCAGCAGAACAATTTGCCATTCAAGTTTAATGGACTTTTCCTTGTCTTAAACAACTTTATATAAATCCTCTATTAAGACAAATACCATATTTAATCGTCTTTATAATTTTTTTTATCTAGACTTATTCAGATTAAACTAACTGTAGTGGTTAGTTATGACAAATCTGTTACCTAGACATAATCTTTATCTCTCATAAAATATGAGAATATACATGTAGATTATGTGTATTAAATACATTTTCCAATATAATATGCATTGTATACATAAACATGTACTTGAGATAATCTGTTTTTACAGAGACTGGTGTTTTATTGTTTATTTAACCACAAACATTTATCATAAAGATTAACATGTATATTGTTTAATGTTTAAGGTGCTATTTTTAAACATGGGATTTCAAATTGAGAAGGCTTACTTTTTAATAATTTTAAATGCATTACACATTAAAGCTATTACAAGTATGTTGTTTTTTCTCATGAAACAACACATATAATTATTGATAAGAAATCCATTAATCCATTATCAGATATCTGAAAAATTCCTGTGATATTATGGCTGGGAAATTCTTTTTGAAGTAAGATATTGAGACTTTATTAAAATAATCTCCAATTGATCTGTTACGTTCTAATTGGCTTCAACATTTTTTTAATATAAGTAATTGAACATTTTACCCAGATTGTTATTATAATAATTGAAGTAGAAAATTTGTGTAACCAGAAGTGCACTAGACTCCTAATTCAGAGGTTTGAATCCCAGTTAAAATGAAATTCTCTTTTGGCCACTTCAATTCACACTGGTTAACTCTGCTTTAGAAACCCAGGCGGCAGACCTCTGGCGAGAGTTAAAAAGTGCTATGCCTACATCCCTAAACAGGAATGTAAGATTGGAGCGAAAAATAAAAATATACAAAGTTATATTTAATTTTACCTCATTAGCTGACAATGGTCTTTTTATGGTTTGAATGAATCATATCAATATTTTTGTAGACAGGTGTATGCCTGTTATGTTATAAATTTTTTTATGCAAGAACATCATTTCTATATGAAGCACAGAAGCAGATAACGAAAAACTGTTATATAATTGTTCCACATATTACTCTATACAAATTACAATAACATGAAATATACTTATTTATAAATAATGTCTCCATTAATGTGTACAACATTTTAACACTGTTTGTATCAACAACTAAATAACCATTATTCATGAATCTTTACAAACAGCATTTATAACTATAAACAAGAGCTGTCGGTAGGACAGCAACGCTCGACTATTCTTAGTGCTTGATAGCAAAAAAATGTTTGATAGAGTTACCTCCTCCTGTTTACAGGTTGGGGTCATGATGGTGAACAAGTGTGCAAAGTTTCAAAGCCATATGTCAATGGACTTTGAAAATATTTGAACTATTACAAAAACCTTAACGTAAATTCTAAGTCGAAAAAGGGGCATAATTCTGTCAAAATGCTTGATAGAGTTACCTCCTCCTGTTTACAGGTTGGGGTCATGATGGTGAACAAGTGTGCAAAGTTTCAAAGCCATATGTCAATGGACTTTGAAAATATTTGAACTATTACAAAAACTTTAACGTAAATTCTAAGTCGAAAATGGGTCATAATTCTGTCAAAATGCTTGATAGAGTTACCTCCTCCTGTTTACAGGTTGGGGTCATGATGGTGAACAAGTGTGCAAAGTTTCAAAGCCATATGTCAATGGACTTTGAAAATATTTGAACTATTACAAAAACTTTAACGTAAATTCTAAGTCGAAAAAGGGGCATAATTCTGTCAAAATGCTTGATAGAGTTACCTCCTCCTGTTTCCAGGTTGGGGTCATGATGGTGAACAAGTGTGTAAAGTTTCAAAGCCATATGTCAATGGACTTTGAAAATATTTGAACTATTACAAAAAATTTAACGTAAATTCTAAGTCGAAAAAGGGGCATAATTCTGTCAAATTGCTTGATAGAGTTACCTCTTCCTGATTACAGGTTGGGGTCATGATGTTGAACAAGTGTGCAAAGTTTCAAAGCCATATGTCAATGGACTTTGAAAATATTTGAACTATTACAAAAACTTTAACGTAAATTCTAAGTCAAACAAGAGCTGTCGGTAGGACAGCATGCTCGACTATTCTTAGTGCTTGATAGTAAAAAAAATGCCTGATACAGTTACCTCCTCCTGTTTACAGGTTGGGGTCATGATGGTGAACAAGTGTGCAAAGTTTCAAAGCCATATGTCAATGGACTTTAAAATATTTTGAACTATTACAAAAACTTTAACGTAAATTCTAAGTCGAAAAAGGGGCATAATTCTGTCAAAATGCTTGATAGAGTTACCTCCTCCTGTTTACAGGTTGGGGTCATGATGTTGAACAAGCGTGCAAGGTTTCAAAGCCATATGTCAATGGACTTTGAAAATATTTGAACTATTACAAAAACTTTAACGTAAATTCTAAGTCGAAAAAGGGGCATAATTCTGTCAAAATGCTTAATAGAGTTACCTCCTGCTGTCTACAGGTTGGGGTCATGATGTTGAACAAGTGTGCAAAGTTTCAAAGCCATATGTCTATGGACTTTGAAAATATTTGAACTATTACAAAAACTTTAACGTAAATTCTAAGTCGAAAAAGGGGCATAATTCTGTCAAAATGCTTGATAGAGTTACCTCCTCCTGTCTACAGGTTGGGGTCATGATGGTGAACAAGTGTGCAAAGTTTCAAAGCCATATGTCAATGGACTTTGAAAATATTTGAACTATTACAAAAACTTTAACGTAAATTCTAAGTCGAAAAAGGGGCATAATTCTGTCAAAATACTTGATAGAGTTACCTCCTCCTGTCTACAGGTTGGGGTCATGATGGTGAACAAGTGTGCAAAGTTTCAAAGCCATATGTCAATGGACTTTGAAAATATTTGAACTATTACAAAAACTTTAACGTAAATTCTAAGTCGAAAAAGGGGCATAATTCTGTCAAAATGCTTGATAGAGTTACCTCCTCCTGTCTACAGGTTGGGGTCATGATGGTGAACAAGTGTGCAAAGTTTCAAAGCCATATGTCAATGGACTTTGAAAATATTTGAACTATTACAAAAACTTTAACGTAAATTCTAAGTCGAAAAAGGGGCATAATTCTGTCAAAATGCTTGATAGAGTTACCTCCTCCTGTCTACAGGTTGGGGTCATGATGGTGAACAAGTGTGCAAAGTTTCAAAGCCATATGTCAATGGACTTTGAAAATATTTGAACTATTACAAAAACTTTAACATAAGTGGTTACGCCGACGCCGACGCTCGGGTGACTGCAATAGCTCTACTTATTCTTATCGAATAGTCGAGCTAAAAAGGGGCATAATTCTGTCAAAATGCTTGATAGAGTTACCTCCTCCTGTCTACTGGTTGGGGTCATGATGGTGAACAAGTGTGCAAAGTTTCAAAGCAATATGTCTATGGACTTTGAAAATATTTGAACTATTACAAAAACTTTAACATAAGTGGTTACGCCGACGCCGACGCTCGGGTGACTGCAATAGCTCTACTTATTCTTATCGAATAGTCGAGCTAAAAATGTTACAAAGTCAAGCTATGTACTGGTTTCCTAGCAGTTTCCGTCCTCTAGCAGTTTTCCGGACTTTTATCATTTTCGTCCAGTACAGTCTATTTTTACCAGTAAGGTATCCACATTACTTTATCACTCAGAGAGACATTTGTTCCTTTGATAAACAGCATTTAAAATAGTACAACGATTGATATATTTTGAAATTTTGCCTGTTATTTAAAGTTACCTAAGAGAACTTACGACTTTCAAAAATAAGCAACACCTGGGGATTTCTAGTTTGAATATCCATGTGCAATAACTAAGACCCCATTTTAGGTAAATCAATACTTCGGAAAATATTTTTGCAGACGACACGGAAAAGGTTGAGAAGTTCTGTTTGTCAGATAAAACCATTTTAACGTTGCTTTATGGTACTGAATTATATTCAAAATAAAAAAGGTCCGGAAAACTGCTATGAATTTTTGAATAAAGGTGAAAAAAGGTGTTACACTTCAGGCCTATATTCAAATTAAAAAGTAAAATGAAAGTGCAACATTAAACACATGGCAATGCTGGACAGGTACCTAACTTTGTCCTGTCAAAGTTTTGTACCCCTCCGTAGACTGACTTTTATTTTATTTGTTAAAAAGTGTGATTTGTGGCCGGAAACTGCTAGGAAACCAGTAATGTAAGTAATACTTTACAACATAAAATGTTTTAGTTTTGCAAGACCATGACCACAGAATGCAAGTACCGGTATCTAAGAATGACCACTACCAGAGATCTACCAGAGAACTAATCAGCATTAAATGATTAAGATCAAAGGTTCACGACAACTTTAGAAATTGCCCTTCATTTGGTAAACAGTAGACAATGGCTGTTATATTCTCAAATCATTGAGCTAGTATTTCTTCAATAAATTACAGAGACAAATCTTCTATGGCAATGCATATATCTAACTGTACCACTGGACATTATAAATAAGCGGGTAACTGACAATAATGCTAGTATATTTTGCAAACATAAAATAAATGATGTTCCAATAACCAGTTACAATGTAGCATTACAAAGTTTTCATGCATTCACCATACTGTACTATAGATGTGCATTCACCATACTGTACTACAGATGTGCCATTATGATATATCATTACAGCTTTGATAGCAAATAATGATCACATATACATGTAATAAAAGCACCTATGATGAGCCGATAACCAGCTTAGATAGAACAATTAATATTTTCTATACATTTATCCAATTTTACTGTTCACATATCGGCCAATACACATATACACACATGAACCAATAACAGCTGATAATATTAGCATACATCTATAACATCAATGTTTCCAATAACCAGCTTCAATGCAACATCTCAATTTTTCCATGCGTTCATCCAATACTACAAACAGTTGATCCGATAACCAAATTCAAAATTCCCATGCATCTGCCGATAATGCAACATTTTTTAATATCAGTTAGCCCGGAAATTACCAATAACAATTATGGTTAGTATAATTAATACAGTAACAACATCAAGGCCATTCCAATAACCGTTGTCCGTTGTTTAACAACATGCAGGATACAACATCAATCTTACCGTCAAAATGGGCCGGACTAGATCTATTCGAGTCACCCGGTGACCCGCTATTACTATCAGTATTGTTGGAGGCAGCTACATTAGGCAAAGGACGTGATCTAAATCCTACAGGGAATAACGTCCAAAACATTAACAAGCAAGAAAACGACCTCATTATATCTACAGCAACTTCATATTAATAATTCAGGAGAATTATCGCTCCATTCCCTCTACATATGATCTCGTGTTACAGATACACATCTCATAAATACAATATTATTCAATTATACTGCAAATGTATATATATATATATATATATATATATATATATATATATATATATATATATATATATATATATATATATATATATATATATATATATATGTACGTTATATACAACTAGGACACACTTTTTGTGGAAAAAGTAACTGCATTATTTCTATAAATGAGTCAATCTGCTTACAAAAATTTCATTTAAAACATTTTTATTACTTGTTAGTAAAAAACCTCACAGTTCAATCAAACTAGTGAAAAATTCTATATATGTGCAATCTATATCATACATTATAAAATAATTATGCACACCATTCATACATGTATGTTAATTCTTTTATGTATAATCAAATATATATTTTTCATCCTAATATTAGTCATATAAGGTGTTGTTAATAGCATGATACTAAAAGAATAAAGCAGAAAAGCTCACCTCGTCTTGGTGAAGTCTGGGCAATACTCTGTCTTAAACTCTCTTCCTGCATTTTAGCAAGATTTTCAATATCGGCCACATTCTGATGATGGACAGCTTCCGAGTTTTCTTTCACATCGTCCGACATGGAGTTCTCCATCGTGGAAGGTTTGGTTTTCTTCGGCCGTGTAAATGTGCCAGTATTTAATCTACTTCCTGTAACAAAGATGTAAACTGTCATTATGATTAAATTACGCCAACTTTACAAGTGCCTAAAACACCTTTATTGATTACAAAAAGCATATAGAGATTAATCATTTTGGTTGGATAGGATTTTAAGTCACATTTTCACTGCCATTACACAGTTACTTTTCAGCTGTTCTGGTGAAGGAAGACCAAAAATGACCCTCTATGCATTACATGTATATCATGCACTAATACATGTACATGTAGGTATCAAAATAGAACCATTGACTTTACACTAGCAGTACAGCTTCCCCACTAAAATGAATTAAACATTGTTTTGTTTGTATACTTTGTTAAATTTTTAGGCATATTGGCACTTTAGAGATCGTATGATGACTTTCCAGCTTTACTGGTGGAGGGAGACCTCAGGTGCCCTTTTAAGTATTACATTTGTTTTGTAAGCGCAAGCATGCACCAAAGTAAAAACACAGGTCATCATTACATAAGCTAGCTTGATAGCTTCCTCACATAAAAGAATCAAAAGCCACTGATGGGATATGAACCTACAGCAGTGAGGGGTAAAATATTTCAAGATGGCGACCTGGAGGCCCACTCAAACATTTTAACCCATGAGTCTGAGGTTCTGGTGACTTAAAGTCAAGCTTAACCCATCTGCAACTAAAGCTAATCTGTCTGCCATAGAGACTACCTCATAACCAGTCTCAGTTTGCCATAGAAGCTACCTGTTAAACAGTCTGCTGTAGAGGCTACCTGTTAACCTGCCTGCCATCAAGGCTACCTGTTTACCAGTCTGCCATAAGGGCTACCTGTTAATCACTCTGCTGAAGAGGCTACCTGATAACCAGTCTGTCATAGAGGCTACCTGTTAACCAGTCTGCCATAGAAGCTACATGTTAAATAACCAGTCTGCCATGGAGACTACCTATTAACCAGTCTGCCAAGAAGGCCACCTGTTAACCAGTCTGCCATGGAAGCTACCTGTTAACCAGTCTGCCATGCAAGCTACCTGTTAAGCAGTCTGCCATGAAAGCTTCATGTTAACCAGTCTGCAATGGTGGCTACCTGTTAACCAGTCTGCCATGCAAGCTACCTTATTAGAACTTCTTACCTTGTATACCAGTATGAGCTATAGGAGATGGTTTAGCAATAGCAGCTGGTTTCATGATTCTAGGAGATGGTGTGCTATCTGCAGACAAGCTCATAGTTGTACCATTGTTACGTTGAGGTGTACTGTAATTCTGAAAAGCAGGGGTACTACTGCTTCGACTTACTGAAAGATAAAGATTTCAAATTTTATACTTAAGAAAAAACAAACAAACTCAATATTCATGTGAAGTATTTATAAGAACTTCCTTCTTCACAAATATCTACATAAACTAGAACTGCCACTATCATGGCGTGAATACCCCCGCATACCACTTTGTCAGAATCAACAGTGGCCATTTAGAGCTCAAGGACAACCTCCCTGCCAAATCTGAGGTTACTAAGCCAGTGCATTGCTAAGTTATGTATTCTACATGCTTCAAATGTGAAAATGTCAAAATCAATACATTGCGGACAGGACATTCTTTAACAATTAAGAAAAAAAGCTTTTTTTTGTCAAGGTCCCTGTGACCTTGACCTTTGACCCAGTGACCTCAAAATCAATAGGGGTCACCTTATAGTCATGATCAACATCCATGCCAAATATGAAGACTGTGGGTCATAAATGGGTGGACAAACTTTTTGAAGTCAAAGTCCCTATGACCTTGACCTTTGACCCAGTGACCTCAAAATCAAAAGGGGTCATCTACTAATCATGATCAACATCCATGCCAAAAATGAAGACTGTGGGTCCAAAGGAATCTAAAGTTATTGGGCAGACAAACTTTTTGAAGTCAAAGTGCCTGTGACCTTGACCTTTGACCTGGTGACCTCAAAATCAATAGGGGTCATCTACAAATCATGACTAACCTCCATTCCAAATATGAAGACAGTGGGTCAAAGGAATCTTAAGTTATTGGGCGGACAAGCTTTTTGAAGTCAAGGCCCCTGTGACTTTGGCCTTTGACCTGGTGACCTCAAAATCGACAGGGGTCATCAACTAATCATGGTTAACCTCCATGCCAAATATGAAGACTGTGGGTTATAGAAATCTTAAGTTATTTGGTGGACAAGCCTTTTATAATCAAGGTCCCTGTGACCTTGACATTTGACCTGGTGACCTCAAAATCAATAGGGGTCATCTACTAATCATGAATAACCACCATGCCAAATATGAAGACAGTGGGTCATAGGAATCTTAAGTTATTGGGCGGACAAGCTTTTTGGAGTCAAGGCCCCTGTGACCTTGACCTTTGACCTGGTGACCTCAAAATCAATAGGAGTCATCTACTAATCATGACTAACCACCATGCCAAATATGAAGACAGTGGGTCATAGGAATCTTAAGTTATTGGGCGGACAAGGTTTTTGAAGTCAAGGCCCCTGTGACCTTGACCTTTGACCTGGTGACCTCAAAATCGATAGGCGTCATCTTCTAATCATGAGTAACCACCTTGCCAAATATGAAGGCTGTGGGTCATAGGAATCTTAAGTTATTGCCTTATTGGGCGGACAAGAAAAAACCGACGGACGGCCGGACGCCGGACGGACAAGCTGATTCCAGTATACCCCCCTTACAACTTTGTTGTGCGGGGGTATAACTAGGTCCAATTAAAATAGAATTTGTTTGCAGTAACCGACCCAGAATTTTCATGGTGGGTAAGTAGGTCGATTTTTCTTTTTTATTGAACTGTACTCCCAAATAAACATGGAATTTCAAAATGCTGGACAATATATGCTTGATAATCTGGTAACAATTAATAAATTGATATTTAATAAGACCTACATTTTATTTCTTCTATTAACCTTTAAAAGAATGAAAGCAGAGCACAAGGCATAATTTTCTGATTCAAAAAAATTTTTTTTTATCCAGACCATGAAAAAAAATTTTGAGTAGGGCCAAATTTTGTGAGTCGGTCGCGTTACTGCAAACCAACATTTTTTTAAGGATGGCCTTAACAGACACATTTCTATCCATTTATATTGCAGACCTGTCTTATCTAGAAAATAGTTTCAGAAGGCTTTTTTTTCTCATTAAGATCTAATATGCAATTTTAATAAACACTTCATTCTTTGTCACTGTAGTAACATTTGCACAATGCAAATAAAAGTTATATCTGTACCAAAATTTTGGGTTGGTAATGCTAGCAAACTTTATAGAGATATATATATCTTTGGCTGTTATATCTTTTGGAATAATTCATTAATTGGAGGCACACATTTTACATTTGAATACAAATTTATATATACATGTATGCCCCATAATTGTGTATACTTATAATTTATTGCAAATTAACACAGCACGTTGCATATAATGTAATTTAAATTGTGATGTTTAATACAATTTAACAAGACTCCAATGAGGTTGTTTGGCATGACAGACCTAGAAATGTTTTTTTCCAAAATTTGTGTACCATTTTGCAGGTCTAAAAAAATAACTTGTGTTCAAATTTTTAGATCATTCCCTCACTCCCATTTTTCTGTAATAAGCATTTACATGTATATAGTAAAGTACTGTTCAAAATGAACTAACTTAATTAAGTTAATTTTAGAACTGTATGATTTTAAACTTAATTCTCAGTATATTTCTTTGCAGATTTTTTTTCCATTTTAACTTTTAAAGTGCTTCACTTTATCTATATATGTAAAAGTTTCATATTTTATGTTTTTTAAATTTAAACTTTTTTTATTTCTTCACTTACAAAGTTACATAACATACTTATATATATATAAATGCACATATTATCAATAAATATCTGTAATTTAAATCAAACAAATTTTCAGAAATGATATTATAATTCTATAAGATATGGTGTAAGAGTAAGACTTGTAGTTTTTGAGATGCATATACTTACTTCTAGCAGCTTCATCCAATCTATATTTTAAGGATCGTTTGGCAGACTGAACATCTGGACTTGGGTTGTCTAAATCTTGTCTCATGTATTTATAAGGACTAACTCTGTGTTGTTGAGGTGTTGGAGGTCGAGGTGATGTGTATAGCCTGCACAAGAAGAAAAATAGTTTATCCCAAAGTTTGTAAAATCAGTCAATAATATAACGATCTTATAATGGCTATCGGTACCCACCGGAATAACTAGCTTGAGGGTAATTTTTACAGTGGTGACAAGGCACTGTCAAGTTTCCTTGTAACTACTTACTGTTGCCAGAAAGCTAGATATTCCCTTCACTGACGACAGCTGGTGTTTGATTTTTTTTCTTGCATATTAGATATAAATCAATTATCATAGTTAGAAAAGAAATTATGGCATCTAATAATTTTATGCAGCACTTGTTTTTTACTGTTAGTGAGTTACAGTAGCTTATGAAATTACAACTTCATTCATTCACGATGTTGTCCTACGAATGTAAATCTTTCATAAAAGTCGCAAGGAATGTCGTCATTTAAAGCGCACAACCTTCAATGGGCATACTATCACAAAAGCGGGGTGAATTGTTATATTACCAATTGATGGTTTACTTCCTTTTGATTTGAAAATTTGAACATATTTTGATTCGGAAAAGAGTCAACTCGGCCCTATACCAACTCGGCACGGGTCAACTCGGCCCACTTTACAAAAATATATATAACGTATTAACATTGCTTTGCATGTTGTTAAGGTAAATGAATAATAAGAAATATCTTATTATTATATAATTATACATTGTACTTCTGCCGAAATTAAGTATATTTAGAAAAAAATTGTTATTTGTCTTATATTTATAAACTCTCTCTCTGTCGAACTACGTAAATGACCGAAATATATCGAGTGAAAAAGCAAGAGTTGTTTCCCTTAGCTTGCAAAAGAATGCAAATTTAACCGTGTTTAAATCGCTAGTTTCGGGCGATTAGACTCAGTGGACATGTCCTCGATCGATGTTATTGTAAAATTACACCCAAGAAATTAAACTTGCCCCGTATGAGTAATATTTTCCGTTGAAAAATATCACCAGACACTCTTCTTGTAAAACGTCATATTTTAAGCTAGGGAGCAACCATTAAACATAACAATAACAACATAGGTCATAGACCACCAAATTTGAAATTTTCTTAGGATAATGGACACGTCGTCGATCAGCTAATTTTGACATGATAATGTAAAAAAATATTTAAACTAGTACTTGTATGACAAAATTTGGAGTTTATATTAAAAAGAAATGTGAATAAAATAGAAATGAATTATTTGAGATCCTTGACTGGGATCCATGCGTTTATCACCTCCACGACTGATAATAATCTCTCTTGCAACATTTTTTAAAAAATAATCTAGAAAGAGGACAGCCTCTTGATGCCATGAATGTTGCATAATTTATCAGAATTTGTTCATCCGCAGGCTTTAACATACACTCTTCCCCAAATTTTGTAATATAACCCTTGTATTTCCCATTGAAATGGTTCTGTACAGTGGTGTAAGGAAGGCCTAATTCAATAGCTGCTTTACGTATGGAATAGCCCTGGGTCACAAGACGTTTTGCCTCGCTATATATTTGATCTGGGTGGGTCTTCTGAGACCTAGGCATTGCTGAAAATATATAATTGAGTGTCACCAAAGGGGAAAAATATAGTGGCGTTAAACCAAGGGGGAAAAAACCAGTAAAATATAGTGGTTTGTAACCTGTGTTTATATATCCTTTAATTTACTACTTTTTTACTTTTGATATTGTGGACAAAATGTAAAAATATCTAATTATTCTTAGGAAAGCGGAAAATATGTATTTTGGGCAAAATATGCATATATTTAGCATCTTTTCTTAATGGCTGATCCCTGACCTAGATTACTGTAGGAAATTGACCCACCCCCTTCCTGGGAAAAGAGCTAAAAGCTTACTTTATTTTATTATGTAGAAAAAAAAATTGTATAATTATCAAAAGTAGTTATTATTTTGTCATTTTTATATATTTTGTATAAATATTAGAGCTAAGGAGAAAAGATGCACGTACTTTTTTATTGGGTAATTTCTACTTTCACTTCGCCATTGTTTTTAGAATCGTCTGCTGCGTGAACTTTGACCTCACATAAATACTCTTCAGTGGGAGTTTAGTAAAGTACTTACATGTGTTGGAAAAACAAAGCAAAGAAAGTTCGTGTTTTATCAAGTTTATTTGAAAAAGATACAAAAAACAAAATTTTGATCGAGGACCTGGCTGATCGAGGACGTGTCCAATCACTCTAAATGTCCGATTTTAAAATTTGTTACACCAATTAAAAGATGGTGATCTTAGCTTCCTCTCAGTATATATTTCAACACATTGTTTGACACTGAAGATATTTAAATTTACGGTTAAACCTACCACGAGTCAGAAATACAGTGAGATACGCAATCGGTTATCTTCACTCGCAATTCTACTGATAAGAAAAGCCTTTCTGCTGCTAGTTCTGAAACTGTCAATCCGTGTTTTATTAATAATTACAATAATAATTACATAATTAAAAAGTGGGCCGAGTTGACCCATGCCAAGTTGGAATAGGGCCAAGCTGACTCGGGGGCCGAGTACGTTTTAGGGCCGAGCTGACCCGGATTCTTTTGATTCTATCTGCGTGCTGCAAATTGACAGAAACAAAATAATGCATGCATGTATTGATTACGAGTTCTACTTGGTGTAAATTTAATAGACTCTAATGCAAACTTAATTTAAGTTCATTAACTATTCAATCAACATAAACAATCTGTAAACAGATTACCAAGAATCCTCATCCTCGGGAATTGATGCAGAAACATCTATTAATTCAACACCTTCTAAATTTTCAGATCCTATGAGCGAAAAATT